CCATCGAGGTCGCTTTGTGCCTCCGCTTTACAATCCTCGCGTTCGTATGACGCGAGTTCGCAGGAACGGGCTCTTCGTCCGAACGCGCACCCGTCGTGATCGTGAAGCCCACAAGAAAGAGAGAGAAAAAGAGAGCCTCTCACGCGTGCGAGCTGTAACCCAGCTAACGTACGTGGCGATGCGCGTTGCGTATTTATCGTCGATCTCTATCCGCGCGAACAATGGCTTTCACGAAGCTGCAGAGCGAACTGTGAGGGCGGATGAAACGTTAAAAGGTGGCTCGGTCCCTGAAGTCAGTTTCCCGTGCTCTTTCGCTCATCGCTCTTTCCCCCTTCTCCTCCCTTCTCCTCCATTGGCACAAGTCGTGTGCACTCGATTGCAAATTACACCGGTAATTTACGATATCTGAGCTCACCCCCCCCCACCTTCCCTTCGTCGTGATCGATTCTGCGCCGCGTTCGGACGCGAGCCTAAAAACCTTCCAGAATCCGGGCAATTCTCGAAAGTTAAAGTTCCTTAAAGTTGAGTTACTTAATTTTTTTTTTTTTTTGGGGGAACAACCTCGCGTAATGGTTTTCAATACTTGAAAATTAAATCGAGAGATGATCGCGCGGTGTGTTGCTATTCAACACACGTCTTGGTATTCCGGCCTCGGTCGGAAATCACCTCGAGCGCTACGATTCGATGTTCGATGAGAACGACGAAAATTTATCAAGTTAACTCTAATTTTAGCCTTTAACCGAGACAGGTATCGCGCTGGCGATATATTGCTGGCAGTTCTGCTTTTGCGTTGACGCATCGCGACGTGACGAACGCGTCGCGAGTGCGTCTCTGTGACTACGAGCGGTGTGAACGAACGTTTACGCGGCTTGATATGTAGTGCTGTCCGCGAAGAAGCAATTTTAACAACTTTAGAATCGACACAGCCTGTTTTTACTCGTGAAAGATTATTTCGCTCCTGGAGCAGCGGCCTCCCCCCTCCCTCCCGTAACTCTGCCGATTTCTATCTCTGCCCGTCCTTTTTTTTTCCTTCGCGAGGACCACGTCCGCCGAGGGACTGATCGCAGCTTCCTGAGCTTCCTAAGAAACATGTCCTAAAGGAGACGAGAATTTCGGAGCAATCGTATCGTAATAATTCTTATTGCGCTTTCGTGTAAATAGCTATTAACACTAACATTATACTTTGTTCCTCTTGGCCCTGTATATGATTTTTGTACGAGAGTTTCCAGACCGGAGTGATAGGCACTGTGTTTCCTTTGTATCTTATTCTCTTTTTCTTCAGTTTCATTATATCCGGATCTTTTTCGTCCCTTCCCTTCCTTTCCCCAAGTACACCTCCATTCGACCCCTCGTCGAAAAACGAGGAGCCTTTCGCCCTCGATCGGTTCTCGATCGAAAAGAAAAAAAAAAAAAGAGAAAGAAAAAAGAGAAAGAAAAAAATAAAAAAGCGCACGATTGCGACGCGTTAATTGGCGCAGCATGTAACGACGCTCGCGTTGGCGAGAAAAAAAAAAGGAAAAAAACGGAAGATAAATAAGAATTTAGCGAGCGTGGAAATTAACGTGGAGAGCAATCCGTTTGCTAGTCGATCAAAAATCAACTCTTTTTTTTTTAGTTTTTT